GATATATACCAGCCCACCAGACATGCTGTTAGAGATGTGTTTTCCTGTTCTTGCATTTTCTCATTCTTACGTTTTACCTTCTGTAACGCGTATGGTTCAATCCCAGTTCTTTTTACTGGATCTGTGATCTTGACCTTTTGTCTTCTATTTCAGAAGCCCAGCACAACATGCTCAGGTTATGCCATTTTAAAAGTTGTATTTCCCCACAAATCATTTCACTGAGCGCTGTGCCATCAGGTTAGCAACTCACAAATGGTTTATGAAAGTGCAGAGGTGGGAAATGGGTGTTGAGATGATTGCTTGTATTTCTTTCTAGTAGGTCATGGGTGTCCAACATTTTGGCCTGCCCTGGCTGCATGGAGCAAAGAGGAATTGTTTTAGGCCACATAGAAAGTAATTCCTCTTATTTATTTCCATGGAAACTATATCAGACATAAAGAGCACAGTAACACTACTGGTCAGAGCAAATTCTCATTCTGTGCAAAAATATATTCTATGGTAGGCAACAGCATTTGCTTTTGTGCTTTTGAGGAATTAGCTTGTGGCACATCAAAATGTCTCGTGCTGCACAGTTTTAACACTCAAAAACTAAATGAATGTACTAATGGACTGTTTATGTATTGCATTGTGATTTTCAAATCACTATTTAAAAGTAGGCCACAAAATCTTCATTTTACATTTTACTGATGATTTTCGCATTGAAATAATCTACACATTGTTTAGCATTATTACTACAGCCCCTAGGACCGCTTGAGATTATGCAGGGAATGAAAGTATTTGTCACAGGCATCTCTGCAACTTGTAAACATTCATACTAAGTTCCAAGTTTCTACATACACTTGTACTGTATATTCTGCTTATGAAAACTGTTGGTTTTTTTTTTACTTTATTCGGTGCTGTAACCATCCACCTGTATAGTATTTTCTGACTAAATGACTGATCATACCAAGGAAGATCAAAACGATCTTATTTATGAGTTTGCAGTAGTCCAATAAGCAGAAAAGAAACCAATAAAGATTTATGATAATGTTTTTTTAATATAGAATTTGAGAAATATGATAAAAATCCTTTACTTATTCAAAGTGATACAAGTGTCACGAATGTTTTTGACTCTTCAGAGAAGATCGACAAAGAATGTGTACAGGAACAAAGATTTTTTTATTTAATAAGATAGATCTTAGATGTTTTTTAAAAAAAAAAAAAAAAAAAAAGGTGATTCACGTGGTTGTAGGAATTATTAAAAAGGTCCACATTCTGTACATTTCACAGACACTTACAAATGTAATAAATTAAAACTGAACTTCTATTTTGCTATATGAGAAATAGCCTGAAGATAACTGAAATAAACCAATGTTGATGCACCTGGGTGCAGATGATGGTTTATCTATAGGAAGTGATCCAGGAGAAGATGACTGTGCAATCTTTAAAAAAAGAAAAAGAAAAGCAAGAACACAAAAATATATTCTCTCAAAAATATTGTTAAAACACGTACTAGGAAAATACAATAATGGATGACACTTAATGGAATGGAGAATGTAATCGAGGTGCATACAGTGAAAAATTCTCAACACACTATTAATGCAAGAGAAAACCCATATAGTGTGGCTTTCACAGCCCTTGTTCGCACAGATGTGAAACAGGACCAAATGAAATATAATTACATAGAAGCAAATTGAGTAAATATATGATTTCCTACTCCATTTATTACGTTCAAAGAGAAATTGGTAATTGTTTTAGTAAGACATAAATTTCATTGTTTTGATTTTTTTCTTTTTTCAGTAGCACTAAAGTATTTTTTCTTGACTGTGACAATTAATAAACACAATAAATGCTTGATTTCTACTCCAGTTAGGAATGGGGAAAAAAAACAAAATTCCAGTAACTGCCTGAAAAATGAAACAGCAGACAAGATCTGAGAAGAATGGCTGGAAACACAGAGCAATTAATAAAATTGGAAGAAAAACAAAAAGGAGAACAGATACCTTTCATTAAACAGCTACAAAGTCATGCAATCTTGAGTTGACAAAAAAAAAAAAAAAAAAAAACAACCCTGAAAGTCAACTCATCTACAGTCATATGGAAAACACTAAAAAATAAAAACAGAACACAAAAGACCTGAGGACCACCAGAACAGAGATTCCAAACTCTAGCCTTATTTCTAACCAAACAAGCCATAAAACAAACAAATCAAGACAGTACAATGGTTTAGATGCACTTCTGACTAGCAAGCAGATGCAGGTAGGTGCTCTCCTAAATTTTTTACTTGCGATCAGAGAACGCCTCATGTGTGAAGTAGTGTTTGGTAACTGTCTTTACCATATTGATCATGGAGTGGTTTAATTCACATTTCTCAGTGATAAGATGAAAACTGCTACCAAATACTCAACCCAGGATATCAGTTCAGGCTGTTCAGGGAACTAGCTAGTGAGGTGCCTGGAAAACTAGTTTTGAATTCTCTGCGATCCATCACCACAGGTCATTTTTTGAGTACCAGCTCCTGAGAGCACTTGAACAGGAAATTTGACAATGTCCAAGTTTATTAAGAAGGGTAGGAGGCCCCATCCCTGGAGGTATTAAAGGGCAGGCAGGAGGGTGCTCTGAGCACCTGACTGAGCTGTGGATGTCCCTGTTCATTGCAGAGGAGTTTCACTAGATGGCCTTCAAAGGTCCCTTCCGATTCTAAGGATTCTATGATTCTATTTTCAAATTCCTTTATCAAAATGGAAAGCATGACTGGACTTCCTAACATTCACTGTTCAGAGCCCTGTGTTTAGCCAATGCAACAAAATGCATACCATTACTTGCTATCACTCAAGATAGCACTGCTCTCCCCATGTCCCAGTTTCAGTCTACATTGTTAATAATGCACCATTTGACTGCTGCTGAGGGATAGACGCGTGCTCGGGACCACTCCATGAAAAAGAGCAATAGCCTTTGAAATGTGTAGAGGGGATGGGACACGTTGCTAGCTGTGTTGGACTGCATGAAGCTCATGGCTTGGACATGCCTGTAGTAGGTGAATTGTTTCTCTGAAACTCTAAGCTCCAGGTATTTGAACAACTATAGTGTCACTAAGAGCAGTTTCTGCAGTGGCTTCATAGACATTTAGATACACAGGACACACAGGAAGGAATACCATCCAGAGGGATCTGGACAGGCTTTAGAAGTGGGCCAGAAGGAACTAAGTAAGATTCAACAAGGTCAAGCGCAAGCTGTTGCGTCTGGATCAGGGCAATCCCAGATACAAATACAGACCAAGAGAAGTACTCAATTGAAAGCAGCCTTGGGGAGAAGGACCTGGGGGTTCTGATGGACATGAGCCAGCAGTGTATACTTACAGCCTGGACATCCAACTGTATCCTGGGCTGCATCAGAAGAGGGGTGACCAGCAGAGAGAGAGAGGGCATCATCCCCTCTGCTCTGCCCTCCTCAGCCCCTATCTGGAGTACTATGTTCAGGCCTGGAGCCTGAAATTGGTGGGGAAAGAGGTGGGGAAATTCAGGTTAGCCTAGGAAGATTTTATTCACGGAGCAGTGAGGCGCTGGCACAGCTGCCCATGTAAGCTGTGGTGCCTCATCCCTGGAGGCCCTCAAGGCCAGGTTGGACGGGGCCCCGGGCAGGCACGGGGTGGGACTGGATGGGCGTTAAAGTCCCTTCCGACCCAAGCCGTTCTGTGCTTCTGTGCTCCAAACACCGAGGCGTGCTCTCTGCACCACTCCTTTCAACATCCCGCCTCAGCTAACCGCGCGACCGCGGAGTGCTGAGAAGCCGCGGCCCCGCCGCTACGGGCACGGCTCCACCCTCCCCCTCTCCGCAGCTTCACGCTCCCGCGCCGCCGGGCGCGAGCGCCCCTTCCCGCCCGCCGCATTGCCTGGCGCGCGGCCCCGCCCCGCCAGCGCCGCCCAACGGCGACCTCCCTCGCCCCCCCCTCTGCCTCCCGCACCCCGCTGCGGGCCGAGTCCGCGCCCCGCTCGCCGCTGGGTTCGCTCGCACACGCACACACGCAGGCGCGGCAGGGCGGGTGCCCGCGGCGCAAGCGGTTCCCTCGGCTCCCGCTGAGGCAAGGGCTGTTTCCGAACACCTCTGCGCACTCCTCTTCTCCTTCCTTCCTCCTTTCAGAGGAGCGCGGAGCTTCCGAGAGGGCCGATGGAGCGGAACGGAGTTCGGACGGGGGGAAAGGAGAGGAAGCGCGGGGAGCGCGCCCGCTGCTCTCGCCCCCGCCCGCGCCACGCTCCCGGCCCGGCGCGCCCTGCTCGCACCGCGCATGCACGCTCTCCCTTCCCCCCCCC